GGCCCAGAAATGATTTTGGGACCTCCATGCTATTCTATAACAGTTTCTGTGGTACAGTCCTCCTGTGCAGTTGTCTTGTACCCCTTGCTCTACAACAAGGGTGTTCACAGCTCCTTCTGGAGCCCTTTTTTCAGCCTCCCTCAAGGAACACATGAAGAATTACCCAATAAGTCCCACTGGCAGTGTTCCCCCTCCTGGAACATTGCAGCAACATGTTATTTAACAGCACAGCTTTCCCAGGAGTTCCTCTGATAGCCATAACCCCTAACAAGCTTCCCCTCAATAACAACTTGCTTTTGACCTCGGCACACCTGGAGACTTCACCCTTCTATTCCACCTCTGACCTTCCCCCATATAATTGACAAGTCGCAATTATCAGCAATTTGTAAGCTTTGTTTTCCTTAGCACCCAATTATGCAAATAACAGCAGACCCGCAGTAGAACTGCTCCTATTGGGCTGCAAATTTGGGGCCAAGTGTTTCATGCCTGAGCGACTGTGGGAGCCCAACATGCAGGAGCAGGAAATGAGAATTCAGGGAATACTTATCCCAGGCAACCTCTGTCGGGGTGGGAGAAGGATATTTAATACCTTTTTCGTTAACTCTTATGAGCACCTACAGCCTGGATCCGGGCTGCTTCCAGGAACTAGGACTTCTGAAGGTTTAACTTGCCTGTAGCCACTTTTCCTACCCTGGCTGTGCTTCCAGCATTTCTGGAAGGCCAAGGTCTGAGATCCATCTGTCAAATGCCAACGAAGAAAACACATTTTCCAAAACCAAAGAGAATGAACTTGAGCCAAAGCAGGCCCACCACGTGGAAGAACCCCTGAAATTCACAGTGGACACAGAGACAGTGCCCTGGACGTGTCCACATTGGCTTTTGTGCTTCAATATATTGTTTTGTCTTTATGTGCTCTGTGCAGTTTACTGGGCTGAAAACAGAACAGTCATCCCATCACATCCTGCCCTCTGTGCATCAAAAGGGTTTTTAACCCACAGCATTTTATCTGAGACGAAAAACACTGGGAAAAAGGCATTCTGGGCTGTTTCCCCACCTTTCTTCACCCACGGCAGCACTTGGTTCTATCTGAGGTGTCAAGCCCACCATCCCCCCGGCAGCAAACAAGTGCCTTCCCAGTCCTGTGACCTCACCTCCTCCCCTGTCAGAAGATTAAGGCACATTTTCAGATGCTCGGGGCTATTTTTAGCCTGCCCTAGAGACCGGGGGAGAGGAAAGGAGCAGGGGGACTCTCTCCATCATGTAACAATCTCCGGGTCTAGAAAACCACTCACATTTAATGTCACTTCACAGGACGAGCCCGGGTAAAGCTGCATCAGCTGCATCACTCCAGGATGGCACTGCCCAAAGCACTTCCCTCTGGGAAGGGGCTGGGAAAGGGCTGCAGAGACTCCTGTGCTGGGAATGCACAGGATGAGGAATGGGGGCTTTATCTTCATGTCCTGACAACAGGAACAAATGCAGCAGAGTCAGAAAACAGATGCAAACACCGTGTGGAAATCTGTGCCTGCACCAAGCTCTGAGCAGGGTGGGAGGCTCTGTGTGATGCTGGGATCCAGTTTTCCATGGCAAGGTGCCTCCTGCAGAGACAGCTGAGGCACAGCTCCTCTGGAGACACAGCTCTGCCCACCTGGCAATCCCCCTGTGCCCCATCCACCTCACCCCATTCCCACCAGCACAGGCAATTCCTCACCGTGTCCCACTACAGTGTTACCAGGATAAAACACTCCTTGGAAATGGCCAATCCATGAGTGCACTGTGCTGCTGGGATAACAGGATAAGGAATATATTGAATATAGAAATGTTAAGTAATATATTGAATAGGGAATGGATATGCCTGTCTCCTTCTCTGAATGTCACTGTATGAATAACTTATTGAAAAATAGGGTCCTAAATGGGGTAAATCTTTAAATCTGGTGTCACAAGAGAAGATGGACACAGGTACAGGAATGAGTTTTATAATCCCCTCTAACTGCTGCTCCTCACCCAGTGATTTTGGCACCCTGTCATTCCCTCCCTCCTCTCCAGGAGCTCAGTAAGGACTTGTATTTTCATCAGGTTCCATCTGAGGAGTCCTCGGGCAAGGAGGGGGAGGAAGATAATTAAAACAAAGCAAAAACCCCCCAAATCCCAGAATACCAAACTAACACATTAAAGACATCACCCTTTATCCCCCTACAGAACAAAGCACCAGAATATTCAAACACCAAGTCAGAGAAGGGAATTGGAGGGAGCCCCTCCCAGGATCACCCTTGAGGATCTGCCCACTTTGCCAAGTCTGCTTCCAGCCCTGCCTGGCACCTTTCCACCCAGGAATATGCACATTTGACTCCATAATGGTTATTGCATGTCAGGCTCGTGGGCATTTGGCCCATGGAACACTCTGTTTCCCAATCCATAAGCACATGAAATATAAGACCAAGTAAAATCTGAGACATTGTGGAAACCGAGGAGGGCTTGAATGAGCTCCTGGAATAAAACTCGAGCCCCTCCCCACCCAGAGCAGTATTTTTAGGAAGTCGATTGAGAAATGTTTTCCTTGCTCCATTTCCATGTTTACTGGGATACAACATTGTTACACTGGATTGCATCAGAAAACATGGAAACAGCTCCACAAATTGATCCGACCACAAGTTCTCTGAGGAATTTGCTCCTTGTCTCCAAGGAGTTTACTCAGCATAAACAATGGCAAATAAATGCAAGGCAGACCTGAGAGAGGGTTTCTCCAATAAGCTTCAGCAATATCAGATTATAGATATTTTAGGGAACTTCAGGTGGGTTTTATGATGGCATATTTCTCACAATACATTGGATATGGGCAGTGAGAAAATTATAGGATATACTGGGCCTCAAAGTGAAATTTGCTGCATTTTAGGAAAAGATCATCAAAGTGAAATAATGACGGGACCAAAAGGACAACATGCACCATCCCCTCCCTGGGGCTTTGAGGGCCTCCATCTCTTCAGGAGATGGAACTGGACCCTACTTTAGTATTTGCTAATGGTTCCTAAGCACATAAATCCTTTAGAGGTCTCAACTCAGATCTCCAGGTCAGACAGAACTGATTGCCATGATAATGGGAAATATGGCAGCTTAAAACTGCTGAGTTTGAGAGGGGGATCTCTTCAATAACAGAGTATAAAAATGCACCAGCATTGCCTTTCAGCCATCTGAGTCACCTCGGCGTGTAATCAATTAGAAACCAACTCAATTCACAGGAAAAGGTTCTGCCTGAGCCAAGGGATAATTTTTGTCATACAGGTGAACTAATCTTTCCCAGGCCAAGCATATCCTCTAACTCCTACCCTGCTCTCTCTGCTTATCTTGTCTTCCCAGTTCGTTTCAACTGATTAGTACAAAACTTGTCTGAAAATGGAATTTTCTTTCCAGAAAAAAAACCCCATTATAAAATAGTGATGGAAATCATTCTGACAGGGCCAAAAAATGAACTATAAAATGGCAGCAACAAACCTGGTATAAAAGAATTTATGTGGAGGGATTTCCAAGCCCTGTTAAGTTTGTTTGTTTGGGGTTTTTGTTTGGTGTTTTTGTTTGGTCAGTTTTTGTTTGGGTTTATGTTGTTGTTGTTTGAAAATGTAAAGAAATATTCAATTTCAGGGTTTTGCCTTCAATAGAGAGCAGAACAATTTCTTTTGCCATCACAGTGACCAAATGTCTTCCTCCTTGTGTCCAGGTAAACCTGAGAATTAAGGGGCTTAGTTACAGGAATTATTCCCTAATATAAGAGGAAATGTGGATGTATAAGAATATAAAAGGTGGTGGCTGCTCCATCCCTGGAAGTGTCCAAGGCCAGGTTGGATGGAACTTGGAGCAACCTGGGCTCATGGAAGGTGTCCCTGCCTATGGCATGATAATAAGCTTTAAAGTCCCTCCTAACCCAAATAATTCCATGATTCCACGATTCTGTGAAATCTGGCCCTCACTGTGAAGTCCACTAGACTTAAAACTCCACAAAAAGAAGTGGTTCACTCAAAACTGGGATGGAGCAGACAGTGAAATGTGGTGTAAGAACTTCTGTTTGGTCCAGCTTTGGAACCAGGCCCTGAAATCCCCCCGTTCAGAAGCTCCTTATGGTCCTATCAGGATCCTCCCTGGTTTCAGGCTGAGGAAATGGAGCCAGAGATCAAATGTTGGGGCCAAAGCTGCAGCGGTTCAGTCACAACATCACAACCAGAAGCCAAAAAACTCCTGCCCCCACCCTCCCCTGGAACCAGCAGCCCACACTCCTTGAGCTGCTCCCGGGCTGGAAGTGCTGACTGCTCCCAGGGCAGCCAAGCCATTCCCGGAGCTTCCCCACGGGAATGATGCCTGAGCAGGCACAGGCCTTGGCAGCAGCCTGCAATTGTTGCTGGAGGCTGGCACGGGGGTAATTAGAGAACATAACACACGGGTAAAAGTTCCTCCTCCACCCTGTACGTGGCAGACGGGCTGTGGGGACACCCAGATTAACTCCTGCACCTGAATTAGAACAAAGTGTTTTGCTATTCCCTTTCTCTTTCCCTCTCCACCCCTTTCCCTGTCCTTATTTTAATCTACAAACCAGTAATGGGTCTGCAGGCCTGGTGCCAGGGTACAGCTCTCATTCACCTGGCAAATGCTGGGATCCTTCTCCTGCCTCCAACTAAAAACCAAGACTAAAAGGAGGAGCCAGGAGGTCATTTTTGAGCCAAGGCATCCACCCAGGGTGTCCAGACTTTATAGGAATTAAATTTATGGGAACTAAAGGCTTCCATCATTCTCTTGCTCCTTCTCTTGCTCCGGAAGATGTTTTTATCACCCTTGATACCACAGTAAAAATGTTTTCAAAGGCTGAAATTATGAATATTGACAGCATTAATTTCTTTTTGCTTAATAAATAAAATGGAAATTACTTGGAAAATACACTGAGGCCAAGTACATTTTAATGCATTAAGAATTTTTACTTCAGGTCTAACAACTAAGTGGGAAGTGTTAAGAGGCACTTCAGAACAGGGTCCCTGGGGCTCCCAAATACAGCAGCAACTCATCCATCAATTCATTCTTAATTGTCCTTCCCATAATAAACAAATCATATTTTGATTGTTCCCTCTGCAAGACTCACTGAGGAACCTGGGAGTTGTTACTGCCATACCAGGTGCTTCTTCAAATCAAACAGAAATCCACCAGCAAGGACTCACAGCAGCTCTTTGTGCCTCATGATTTTAGTGCTGGCCTTTGTCAGCCTCCCTTTTTTCCCCCAAACTATCCTTGCAGCACATTCCAAGGGTGAAAGGTGGGAGAACAGAGCCCTGAGCACACCCCTGTGAGCTGGCAGGCTCCGTGAAATGAAACTTTCCTTGTGCAGATTGGACAAAGTCCTGACAAACTTCATTTACATGTCAACAAAAGGAAGATGGGAATTCATCCCACTGACTGACATGGGAACAGCTCTAAGAGCAGGATGAAGAAAGCAGCACTCCTTCAAATTGCAAACTCCTTGGGGCAGGGAAACCTGCCAAATTCTGCCACTGCTGAGCGACCTGGATCACTTGGCAGGGATGGAACGGGGGCAGCCCAGCTCTCCTCTGTCCCACAGGCAGTTCCAGCCCAGTCTGAGGCACCTGCCTTATTCCCACTGCAATTCCAACCATGGGCAATCATATCTTACACTGAACACCAGGCATTAATTAAAGATTAATGATGATGTCCTTCTTGGAAACAATTTTATTTAGCTGAGCATCACACTTGCAAGTCTGTGGAGTCATCAGCAGCAGTCACAATGCACAGGAAGCAGACTGACTGCACAGGATTGTTCTCTGCACTGGGGGAATTAGGGATACCCACTGGAATGCAATTCCAAGCCCCAGGCTGTGGATGGGACCAGCTCTGGGTGTATCAAAGCTACTCCTGAGCAATCCCAGGCTTTAATCCCAGGTTTAATCCAGCACCTTGGCCCAGGCAGTGGCTCAGGGCAGATCTCTTGGCTTTTCTGAGATGCTGGAGACCAGAAAGTGAAGAGGAAGTTGAGTGTCCAGGACCTCAGGGCTGAGAAAACAATTGTCAGGAATCTTATCAGAGCAGATAAATATGGATGAAATCACAGCATTGCTGTCCTCCCTCCTCTCACAGATCTTTGGCTTAATATTTGGAGTCATTCCCTCGTTCTGGAGGCAGTGACTTGCATCCTAGAACACATTTTTGCTACAGATCCACTCTTCCAGCAAGCTGAAAGCATCTCCTGCCCATTCCCCTTGTCCAAAGCTACATCCTCAGGCTTTATTCCCCCCCCAAGAATTAACTTTCAGCAGTGAGATTTTCATCTGAACCACTCATATGTGTGGTGTGCCCTTCACTCCAATGGAATAACCTGAGGAAAACAGTCCCCCCCTCCTTGTGGGGGTGAGGGGAGGTGGGAAGATATGGGGGGAGAGTGAGTGACTCACTGTGTGTCCAGACAGCCAGATCTGAGCAAAGAAGGTGTCAGACATCACCTAATAGTGGAAATTAGGAAACCCAGATAAGATAAGTGCAAAGGGACTTGCTTGGGGAAGTTGCAACAGTCCAGAAGTCAAAAAATAAGATGAAATAAGGACCCAAAATTAAACAAAACAAAACATGGCAATGTTAAGCAAAGCAGCAAAACAAGGCAGAGCTACCAGATGATGCCCTGGAAATTCTGCCTTGCTCACTTAATGCTGCTCATGGAGCCTTTCCCAGTTCCTTTCCAGCCTGGCTCGGAGCAACAGCTCCTTATCAACAGTTTATTTTACCCATTTTGTAAAGGAATTACAGAACAGGGGAAAAAATACTGGCTATTTTGAGCATCTCCAAGACTCAGCTGTGAGTGTGGGAAGGTGGGACAACAGGGCAGAGGAGTGTTGATGTCCTGAAGAAGATCCTGTAGGAGGTCAAAGCCCAGCTCCTGAGCACCTGTGGCCATGGGGGACCCCAGGGCACAGTTTGGCAGAGTGTGGGTCCTAAAATCCTGCTTGGCATCCCAGTGGGAAAAGTTCATTGTGCTGTTCTGTCTGGAAAAGCAGCATCTGGAATGTTCAGTGTCCCCAGTGTCCCCCCATCAGAACAGTGTCCCCAGGGCTGGGGAGGCTGGGGAAGACAGTTCCTTTTCTCATCTTGCATCAGCACTTTAACACCCCCAGAACGAAACAGAGACTTGAAAAAGAATAAATGAAATAGGGACTGGTTTCAATTCCAGACTTCTCAAGAAGCCCAAATGCATTATCCATGTTTAACAGCCATGGCTCACCTAATTCAGTCCTGGTTTTTATCCCAAAGTGCCCAAAATTAGGGATCTCCCACGGGGTTCTGGATTCCAGTTCTGCATTCCTCTTTTCCTCTATGTTGACCCCCCTGGTTTGTGTGATGAGGAATGAAGCACAAGCAACACATGGACATCTTAATAAATTTAATTGAATTAATTTAATTAACTTCCTCCCTCCTCATCACCTGTGATAATTCTGAATAGAAACAACAATCTGGTTGGCGGGAGCAACCTTGAAGAGTGTTTTGACAGAGAATATGAACATTTTTCAAAATTAAAGGTCAACTCCAGTGTCCACCAATGTTTCTTCTTCCAAGGACAAAATAAACCAGTGAGAGTGTGGGGGATAAAAGTGCAGGTAGATCCTGGGAAGTTGGGATTGCCATCTTCGAGGGTTTTCCACCAGTTTTAGCAAAGAAAACTAAATCCTCTGCATTGTGCTTTTTGCCATCATTAAATCTGAGTTTTCCACTGGTGCAGAATTTAATACTGCATCACCAGAAGCAGAGTCATGGGGAAAATTGCATTTTCTTTACCTTTCAGATACAATAAATAGATAAAACCGTTAAAAATGAAAGTTATTCAAGTAACCAAAGGCTACAGTCCAATATAGCCAAGACAATGTACTCTGAGACTCAGATCTGGAAAAGAGATATCAGCAGAAATGTGTACCAGCCAAAGTTAATATTTGCACAAAAATGGTGAGTCAGATAAACTGGGATTTCCTCTCCCAGCCACTCATGGCTTATCCATGGCGTCTCAACTGAATTTGATACAATAACTTTCATCTGAGAGGGAAAAATGTTCAGCTCAGGTAAGGAAGACTTTATTTTGGGCCTGAATTCTCCCTCTGCATCCACTTCTGAAATGTGTAAGGAGTAATGTTGTCACCCAGGATTCCATCACATGCTATTGCCCGACTGTTTTCATGATGTACTCGATTCCTGATCCTCAGTTATCCTCCAGGAATTTAGTATAAAACCAATACACCCATTCCACCGTTAAAGTCATCAGTTTAAAGTTCCCAAATAAAACCAGAAAACATCTCAGTAGAAAAAAAACCCCTAACTCACTCCAAATTCCAAATATCTTCCTGTTCTAACAACACATGTTTAGTTCTAACCTATTTCAGTTAGAGGAGGGCACTTCAGAACAATTTAAATTTCTTTCATGCTCAATTTTGCTAAGTTGGTCAAGAGATTCTCACTGTCACCGAGGTGGAACATTAAGAAGATCCATCTCACAATGTTGTGGAAGCTCCCTGGAGGTGTTAAAAACATTTAAGAATATGCCAGCAAACATCCAAGTCCAGGTTTAGTGTGGGAAGTCCAACTACACCATCTACTTAGTTTCCTCCTGGCTCCAACCTTCTATAATTTTATTATCATTGACTGTGTTTCATTCAGTCCACCAGGAGTTCCTGAGCTTCCTGCTGCAGTCCACGGGACGCTTCAAAACAAAAGGGCTTTTTACCCAGCCATACACACAGAAGGGAATGATAAATAAACAATCAACATTCAAATAAAATCCCTGCTGTAAGTGAGGAAGGCGTTTCAAATCAAACCACACCAGCTCCGCTTCACCGGAGACAAAAATAAGCTGAATCACTTTTTATTTTCTCCCCGATGGCCCGGCAGACAACGCTCCAGGGGCTGAGCTGGTTTTCCTCTGAGGGGAAGCCAGGCCTTCCTGGGAAAGGGCTGGGCAGGGCTCAGTCCTGCCTGCCACCAGCTCGGAGTCACCGGGGGGAGCTGTGCCAAGCAGTAGTACCGGGAGCTCCAGAAACAACAGCCGGGAGTAAGACGGGAGGAAGGACCACGCGACAACACCCTCCAGGGGCTGGAAAAACTGATGGGCAACCAGGGCACTGATGAGCAACCAGCAGGGAAAGGAACAGGCAGAGGCACCGGGGATGATTATTCCCTGTTTCTCTCCGCTGTGAGAAGGGGGAATGTCAGAACTGGGTTTTCCTCCATTGCTTTTTCATGCCTTGTGTGGAGGGTGAGAGGAATCCAGCAATGCCTGATTGTTTTGGGCAGGATGCTTGACAGGGAATTACCTACAGTGAACAGAGGGAATGAAAAAAATCTGGCCTTGATAGTTCAGAGGCAACTTCTGAAATTTAAAGTCTAACAAAAGCATCTTTAAAAATTAAAAAGATTAAAGCCCTGCTGTGAGGTTTTTAGAGGAGAAAGCTTCGTTTCTCTGTCTCAGCCTGACTGCACACTACCTGCTCATTAATATCTTGGATTCTCCAGAGTAGGCACTATTTTCCAGAAGTACGGAGCGTTTTAGTGCTCAGCTTGCTGCTCTTGGCACTGGATAAACACTGGGTCACATTTAAAAAAAGCATATTATGCATTTAATCATGTCGATATGGAAAGAGCAGGATTTATTAAAAGCACCTAGATAAGTTCCAGGCCTTACTCCCATTAGCTTCCAGGGGTGACTCACAACCTGGTTTTATGAACTGTCTGGAAAAATCCCTTTGGGATTCAACTGCATCTTTAAGCACATTTTACAAATGTGACCTGCTGTTCCTACACGGTCCTTAGAACAACGGGGTGATTCCTTCGGGGATTTTAGGAATGGTATTAATGCACCTCATAATCCCGGGACACCCTTGCCTGTGGCACACTCAGTACCCGGCCATCGACCTTCCAATTCTTACTCATATATTTATTTCTGATGCCCTTTTTGTCTACGTTCTTGTAAAAATCCGCTGGGCTCTTATTATTTCATTAGCTGTCTAGACTGTGCTGCAGGTAAATTGGGGGGACTTTAAAATGGGAATGAGCACACAGGGGAAAAAATAAATAGAGAAAAACAGAAGGTGCTGCTCCTGATCTGAGCCTTCATGTAACAGCGTAGCGATGTAAATGTAAATGCAGTAATTTATGGCTGTGTTTCTATACAACGCTCAGCCAGAAGGTCCCTGGAGATTTTCTGGTGTGTGAACTGCTAACATCACAGGATCACAGAATCCCAGAACTGACAGGGTTCTGTTCCCCGTGAGAAGGTGCTCTGAAGGGCTGGATAAGGACAGAGTTACTAAAATAAATCCATAAAGCAAACCCCGAGCTTGGAGGCCGCTCCCGCCGCCCCCTCTCGGCCCCGCCGCCGCCATGTTCCTGGGCGGTCAAATCGCGGCCGCTGATTGGCTGCGCCGTGACGCTTCGGCCGCGCGCGGACCAATGGGAGGGAGGCTCCCTGTTGCCACGGCAACGGCGGGGCCTGGTGCGGCCTGAGGCGCCCCGAGGCCTGCGCTGAGTTATAACGAATTATATCTGAATTATAACAGCTGTAAATGAATTATAACCGAATTATAGCCCCGTCCCGTCCGCACCATTTAAATTTCTCCCCCTTTAACAAATTCAGTAGTCTGCACACCGAAGAATCTAGAGGGACCTTCTGTGTAGAAACGCAGCGATGAATAACTGCGTGTGTGTGCACGCATACCTAATTATATATACATATGTATATGCATATGAATATGGCATAATTTTACTCCAGTGGGCCAATTTCACTTTAATAAATAAAATGTTATGAAGGGAGGGTGGTCAGCTTGTTTGGAAGAACAACACTGACCGGCTGCGACTCAGCTTTCCCTGGCTTTTTCACAGCTAGGAGCTGCTTGATATTTTTGGCTCGGCTCTATTATTATAATTTTTTTTTTCCCTTTTAAAAAATATGAGGCAGTAGGCTTCCTCCCAAGACACACTCAGGTGGGGCCGCTTCTAGCTGCTGTCTTTCCCCTGGGGCACCTCATTTTGTTAAAAAAAAAGGGGGAAAAAAAAGGACAAGTCTCCCATGACACACTCAATAAAGCTCAGATGGCTCGGCTGTCCCCTGTCCTGTCCCTCCAAGGCTGTGCAGCCTCATTACACCTCCCTCAAAATGGTTTTAAAAGGCTGCAGATGGAAGAGCAGTGACATTTATCACTTGCAAATGAGGGCCCTGCGTCACCTCTGAGGGAGAGTTACATTCTGTAATCCTCATTCCAGGGTATTTTTCTGCTGACTTTATACCCGGAGTCTCAGTGAAAACGAACTCTGTGTGCTCGGTTTTATTGCTGCAGGGTTGGAGTGACTCCCTGAGGGTGGATATTGAGCCCCAAAAATCTCGGTGGGATTGTTTTAATTCACAAATGTCACCTGGAAAGAGCAGAATTGGACCACAGCTCTTCCATCTCTCCACAAGGAATTGTTTTCCTGGTGTTGGGCCTTTCTCATGTGAGAGTTTTGTTGTATTTGTTCCACCTAAAAATGTGCTGGGGCCGCCTGTCAGGTTTAAGTTTGATTTGAGTCAGACAAAATTTTGACACCAAAGTTTTAGTAAAAATGATAAAACCATTTGAAATCAGTCCATCACTGGGGAGTGGGGCCAGTTTCTGCCACACTGTGAGCTTTTCACTAAGAACTAGTGTCTACTGCATTATAAAACATAATATATCAAGAACGTTTGGTCTATGTTATGGAAAACATTATTATCCCTGTTCAATCATTCATTTCTATTTTATTTTTTCTTTTTTTTTATGGCATGAAGTTTTGAAATAGATGGGAGTGAGAAATAAGGGAACAAGCACCACCATAAGAGAATATATAACTCCAACCACTGTTGGAGTGCTTCTGTGAATACGATCAGAATTGGGCAACTCAGGAAGAGTCACCAGATATAAAAGGATAGAAGGCAAAATGTGAAATTTGCTGTATCCTTGTAGCTGGTTTGTTTGGAGCTGAAAGGGTCTTAATGGCTCAGGTGATTCTTCCTACAACTACTGTTTGCGTTAAAAAGTCTCAAATCAATTTATGAAGGAAGTAATTGTTTTGACTCACTGGCTAGATCTGGAAACCAGGGAGAAAGATTCACACAGATTAAAATTTTTAGGCAGTTTTGAGTATTCTGGACCCACTTTCTCCCTTTTGACAGAAGCAGCGTAGCCTGAAAAGCTTCTTTCCCAAAGTACCTTCCAAACTGAGGTGCCTGAACACAGGCAGTGGGAGTCCCCCACCCCTTGAAGGGTTGCCCAAATCTTCATTCCCATTGTTCTCAGCACTTCAAAATGAAAATCCCTTATCCTGCCATCGGGCTGAGGGGAGAGAGAGAATAGGAGAGTGGAGGAGAGAAAGCCCCGGCAGCTCCATTCATGGGGGGGATGCAGCCACTGCCAAGTGTCATTATGAAAATTCTTCCTTTTCGTACGATATTAAACTCTCCTCTTGGCAGGTCCCCTGATGCAGTGAGTGTTTTCAGTGAAAATACACGAGGTACTGAATTCTTTAACCTCAGTTCATTTCTCATTATATTACTCTGTTAATAGTCCTGGGAAATACACAAAAAACCCAACGCTGTGTCTGTGCTGAGCAGGGAGCTCTGCGTGTTTAGGGTGGCTCTTGGCAGTGAGTTTGATGGAGAAGAGGAAAAAACATTTTGCAAAGGAAAAAGGGTTCAGGAAGAGTTGGTTTTTCTGCATTTAATTAAGCATTGAAATCGAGGCCATTTGGACCTCATCTTCCTATGCAAGTACCTCTTTAAATGCCAGGGGTTTGAGATTTGAATCTTTACTGAAGGAGTGCTAATTATCAGCTCTGGGTTTGATTCAGTTCCTCCCCAAATTCAAGATTCTCTTCACTCTTTGCAGTTGGAAAGAGAAGGTTGACATGGATTAAGTGTGGAGTTTGCTCCCAAGAAGTTACTGCCCGTTAGGTGGGACCACAATAAGTGAGGAAGTTGGGGTTTCTGCTCTGCCACAAATATAAATTCAAGTGATGGGAAAGCAGACATGGAAGTATAACAAAATTCCAATGCCCTCCAAATGGGAGTCAACAAATACACCTGCTTTTCCTTGTTGCAGGGGCTGGGAGCAGACTCACAGTCAGCTCTTGTGGCTGAAGTCACCGATGAAAACTGTGCAACTGCAATAAATTTATTGCTTATGACTGTGAGGAAGAGACTGGACAGTGATTTATGGTGTTGTGGCTATAAATTTTGTTCCTATCTCCTGGCCCGGGTGTATTTCATCTGGAAATATTTGATTAATAAAGAATGATTTTGTTCAAAAGGCCAGTTGATCACAAGTTTCACTGCATCAGCCAAAGAAGTAGAAAAATCATGTAAAACTCGTGTTTAATATTGTGTTGGTTGCAGGGGAACAGCCTGCAAGAACTTTTGACCAGAAACTCTTAGTCCATCGTTTCAATTGACAAATAACAATCGAAATATAATTTCAGCCAATTCCCAGAAAGGCAGAGAATGCAATTTGATTTAATCACTAATCTGGCAGACATTGTGTGCCCTGTTTTCAGCCAGCCGTGCCCTCGGGGGCCGGATGCCTCTGGTCATGTAGAACGTGATGGATTATGACCAGAGGACCTGATTTACAGTCCAGTGGTGGCACACACAGACCCAAGGGAGAACGAAGCCTCTGTTGAGTGGCCTGCAAAGCTCATATTGTAAATGCATCAGAGGGCTGAAGGTTGAGGAGTTGCCTGTTGCACAGGAGTGTGAAAAGTGAGGGGAAGAGGTAAAATGGTTTGCTCAGGGTGAGGCAAAAGTCTGTGGCACAGGTGGAAAATGACCCTGGTGTTGTTTGCCCAGTTCCTGTGTCTTCATTCCTCCTCTGTCTTCTCAACCCAGCACTGAATTTGCAGGTTGTTGTCAGATTCTCTCACCCAGCTGTGTCCTCACCCTGCGAGGCTTCAGCATTCCCGGCCATCCGGGTCAGGAAGCTGTGCTCACACACAACTGCTGGCTAGGACTGCTGAGGGACTTGTTATCTGGATCCTGTCTCCAACAGAATTGGGGATCCTTGAGCATCTGCCCCGATTTCTGCTCCCACTTCCTCTCACAAATAGTTGATTTGTGCCAATAGAAACTAAACAGATGTTTAAATGCTCACTCATTTTTTTTCCCATTTCACCCCCCTCATTTTGTCTTTAGTTCAGACCATGATGGCTTTAGGCTGGAGTTTTTAAGACCATTCATGGCTCCACTCACAGCACCTCAAGGCAACCTCTATTTGTGCATATCTCCAGAAGAAGCAGAAAAAAAGTTCCATTTTCCAAAAATTCCTCCCACTTCCTCTTCCCTGCGTGTGCCTCTAACCACTGCTGTATGTGCAGTTAATTGAAATGGTGTTTGTTTTATCTTGAATAACCTTGTAATTGATTGAGGTGGTGGACAGCAAGACTCCAGAGTCATTTACATACCTGTGCATGGAGCAGTAATTTCTAGGAGCCTTTTCCACTGCTTTTTTTTCCCCCTGCAGAACTATACTCCCCTGTATGTGCGTGTTTGCATATATCTATAGATATTCACATTCATATAGATCTCCCCACAGTCCATTCACTCTGGCTGGGACTGTCCATTTGCTGCTCCTTGGGATCTTATGTTACCTGGGCTGGTGAGACTCCTGGCACTCTTCCCTGCAGAAGAAAAACAGCCTGATTTGGGGAGTGCTCGCTCCGCACAAGGCCCCGATTGTGTGCGAGGGCCGAAAGGGTAACAAATGCAGTTTAATTATGTTGGATGCTTGGTGGCTGCTTTTGCAAATCTTTTATTTGTTTTGAGAAGTGCCCCAGCAGCAGCAGCACTAAATTTTGTGTGCATTCGGGGAGCCTCGCAGGCCGCCGGTGCTGGGGGAGGGAGGGAGGGAGGACGGGCTAATTAACTGGGCTGCTGTCAAGCCAATAAACTAATGGAGAGCTTAAACAAATAAAAAAATAAAGGAAGTAGACATGATGGGGAAAAATAAAGTGACTAGACATGAAGTCTTACGACATGCATTTCCACCTTCCATGAAAAGGTGGCCTTGGGCACCCAGAATTTTGCGGATGGAGTTTTATGTCTCCTAATTCGAGTCCCCCTTTCAGGAGGCAAAGGTTTAGTGGATCTATCCAGGAATGAGTAACGAGAGAGGAGCTTTTCCCATCCTGCCCAGAAACCAATTCCAGCTCATCAGAGTTGTTCATTTTGGAAAAGAGTCAGATTCACATTCACGGGACAGAGGGGAGTGGAAAGCAATCAATGTTTAAATCTCCTCTTTGCCAGGCCGAGATGTTACATAAGGTTGAGGAAAATGTTTTATTATCCCAACTAAGCCTGAAGTGTCAGATACTGACAGCATTTCAGAGACAGGA